TTACACTGTTGTTTAAGTAATGGAATTCTGCTTGTCCACTAAACAAATAACTCAATATGAAAGTTACTGATACATTTCAAGTTAATCAGCAGATTATTCAATCTATATATATTTGCTTCCTACTAGGCAGACTTTCAGTAAATTGTACCAATTTAAAATCTCATTGAATTTACTGTTTCAGATTATATGGATGTAAACGGAGATCTGTCTAATGAATCAGGTAATCGGTTTTTTATTGAGATTTTTTATCTATTTAGTTTCATCTTTGAATGTCCCGTTGTTAACTTTCTGCCAATTTTTTTTCTTCGATAATTGATGTTAGTTTCTATATGGTTTAATTATTTACCCAAAATATCTAACAAAATCCAGTAGAGATCTGTATGTGGGCCTAATTATTTTTATTATATTAAATTTGTTTTGCATTTGTTCCTTGCTTTGTGATGTCTGCCTGTTGCTTCGTGCTAAACTTTCGTCCCGTATAAGACGAAACGCGCGTCCTAGATTTGTTATGGTTGGCGTTTTTTTGGCAAGTTGGTTTTTTGGTGGGATGGGGTCGCCAACCCTCCTCCTTTATCCGGGCTTGGGACTGGCGGTAGCCCCGAAGGTTATACAGGCGTCCTAGATTCCACTGCTAATAATGCTTGTAAAAAAGGCAATCAACAAAGGATGCACATATTTCAAAGAGACTGATCAACTGCGGTCCTAAACATCAATGGGACTATTGAGTAAGCCATGCTGTTGTTAGGAAATGGGTACTAGTTAAGGATGGCAAATCAATAGATGAAGTAGTGAACCTTCATCGGGTGAGGTGGTCGGGACATGTGTTACGAATACCCAACCACTGACTGCCTTGTGGTATAGGAGTAGGTTGATTGGTTGGCCAAACCAAAACATGGCACGAATCCTTGAAGTCACTGACAAGTGGACTGAGTCATGTTGTTAGGTGTCGACTACCTGGTTGGGGTCGGCGAGACGAAAGTTACCGATGGTTAGAGACCTTGAATGACATGGCTCAAAACCGTCTGCAATGGCGCAGGTGCATCTATTCTTTATGTTCCTTCAAATCCTTATCTTCTGAAGTCCTCATCACCTCTGTCTTTTTCTCTCTAAATTTATCTCACTCAATTATACTTCTTGAGTAATTTCTTCGAACCCCAATCTTCTCCATTATCGCTAATACTTCTACTACTATGGGATTCGAATTGACGATTTCGTCTCTGTCCTAATGTGGTAAGGCGACTTGGACTGATATACATACATACGGAGTTCTACTCTGTAAATGACTGACTGAATCAAACAACCAATACAAATGAACTGGTTACCAGTAGTTTAGGCTTAGTTGTTATTGTCTGTCTTTTGTCTCACTGCCGCTAACAATTATCATATTTACCATCCTTATCCCTTAATTTTGTCGGATTTCAGGAGAACATGAACAAATCGTAGATGAGCAAATTCCAACAATATATACTTCAGAAGATGAACGTATTCGGACACCAGCTGTTTTATCAGACACATGTAAGTTTTTCCATAGTTTTTTGACCGAGTCTACATAAATTATAGCGCGTTCACCCGTTCTTTCTGATAACAATCAGAAAGTTGTACAACAGATCAGAGGTGATAATAAGCATGCGGAAAACGATACACATAATTCATCAGTACCAACAAAGAAAGCTAGATTGGCAAGTAGGTATATTACGCGTTTCATTTCGTCTCTATCCTTTTACTCAATAGTTCCTTCGGGTTTAGTGTCTTATGCTATCGATGAGGATGATGATGAGCATACGGTGTTAGACACAGATCAGAACACCGATTCTGATGATGAAAATAATCCAAAGTCAAAAGGTGATTATGAATTCCATCTCGGTAGTATCGATAACCCGTTGGATAATTTGGGTGAACCCCCAACTATTTTCAGTTCTGACCAGCCTAAAAACATCCTGTCTGAAAACCAAGTTCATATTTCGGAACCAGTAAATGATGTAAAAAACTCAAGCTTATTAACTAATGAAACAAAATCAGAAAGTCCTACACTTACAGAACGCCTCATTCGGGTGGTTCAATTACCCTCTGAACCTACTGGTCACTGTTCTATGGTGCTTCAAGAAAGAGTAGAGCGAGCAGTGCGTCGTATGCGCTTGGATATAAGCTACGATCCTAACAGAGCAATTCAAGATAACAAAGCGTTCCGTAACCCCAGGTTTGTAAACATATGGACAATTACAAACTCAGTCTTATTTTAGTATTTACGAGAAGCTGATCGACTTTCTGAAAATTGACGAAAAAGGCACTAACTTCTCTACGGTAAGTTTATTGTTACAAATCCCTATTATCATAATGTGAATTATATATATTAGTCTAGTATTCGTGAGCCACTCTTGGTGTTCTCTCAAATTCTAATCTTCTGAACTCCTCATCACTTCTATCTTTCTCTTTTGACATTTATTTCTCTGGATTATACTTCTTGAGCGATTCATTCTAACTCTAATCTACTCCATTACCGCTAATACTTCTACTATCTCTACCACCATAGGATTTTAATTGATATTTGCGTCTCTGTGCTAATTGGGTATGGCAACCTGAACTTATGTACGTACGTAAGAAATTCTACGTTGTAACTGACCGAGTGACTAAGCCTAATAAAGTATGTTAAAGCATAAAAAAGACCAATATTTCTCGCCGTGGGGCATACATACTTGTTAAACACAGTCAATATACAACGTGGTGTCTATAGTAAATTGAGTGGAAATCTCTGTCCGGTAGTTCTGAGTTTTAGTGGAACTTAGATTAATGTACTGGTATTTTACATATCCACTCACGCACTCGCGACTCATTGTTTAACTGATATATCTCAATGCCACAACCTTAGATGGTTTATAACTTTATTAACTGATCATTTTAACATAGATATGAGGGCTAGTAACATTACCTAACTGCCCAAACCGGAGTAGGTAAACTGAGGTTTAAGCCTACAACTGTGGGTGGACGTCGAATGCCCTGTCCTCTGTATATAATCAAACATGTAAATACGGACTAACTAGTATTCAATAGGATAGAATTTACAAACGGATTGTAATATTTTTAATGCACGAAGTTTGGTACCATAATAGCATCTTACGCGGATTCCTATCGATTATTTCATGAGTAAAAGTCTTTGGTGACTACTGTAACTGAGTTCATCAAGCTTATTTTATGCTTCTCAGTATTTGTACATAAAAACAACTTTTATGTAAACCTTTACGTTGGTTTATTATACATAACATATCATGTACTTCATGACTTCTATTTTGTTCAGGATATATATGATCCCTATCGTTGGACTCCGCAGTCATATTATGAAGAACTTGCAAAAGTGCAAAATCGTGAAATTGACAGACTGATGAAAATGCAAAAAGAACTTAAGAAATCTGACTCAAATACGACAAATGCGAACAACAGCACAAGTGTGAATGTACCTAAAAATCCAAACGGTATTATCACTGGCATAGACAAACCCTCTACAACATCTGGAGGGTCCGTTTCTACTGGATACATAGGTTAGTTATTTTTCCTGAAATTTCACCATTTCTCCTAAAAAAATGTGCTCAAGGAAGTGTACATATGACAGTCTTATAACGCACTTGAGTCGTCGGTGAATGTTAAAAACAAATTCACCTCACAACATAAAAGACTTAGTTCAATGCTATCTATAGTAAGCGGTCTTATCCTCGAATAAGCTACGTCTCGTATATAACTGCTAAGATGGTCAGTATAATGTATTATATTGTGTCGTAACTTTAACACAAAACCAATACTCGACGAATACGCATAGATATGTATTACGGGTGTGAATTACATTCCATATATGCATTCAAACCTCGAAAAGAAGTCTTCATTTTATACTAAGTAATAAGGTATATCCAAACAACAATATGACGATGTCATAATTCTACTTGGTGATGACGCTGACATAATGCAGAGCCTTCTGGCTACCCTAAGCATGTTCAGGATGCGATTCTCCCTCTCCAAATGAAAAATGTTGCTTCAGGATTGGGTTTCATCGGCACCTGAACTAGTCGAGCGTGTTGACCGCCTCACCTATCTCGAGAGTCTCATCAGTGCTGAAAGCCTTTTGTGTGACGAAATGTCAGCACGGATACGGAAGGCTCGATTGGCTTTAGCCAACTTGTGTCACTTATGACGTAGGTGAGATATCCTTTTGCTGACTAAAGGACGAACGTACTGCGCGGCAGTTCGCCCTGTCCTACTTTATGGCTGCAAAACATGGCCCATTATCGCTAATACGTCTACTAACTCTACCAGTATAGGATTTGAACTGACAATTGCATCTCTGAGCTAATGTGGTATGGCAACTTGAACTGACGTAAGTACAAAGTTCTACGTTGTAACTGACAGATTTTCGGATTCGGGAAACCCAAAGAGCTATACTCTTCATCACTTTCAAACATTAACTGGTCAAATTTTTTTCGAAAACCCGAATTCTACACAAAACTGATCGATAGACAGTTTTTTCAGTGTAATTAAACGGAGTTTAAAAAAATCACCAGCTATAACGATTGATTATAACGATAGGTTGATAGTGCAAATTACATAAATTTAAATCTGCACGTGCAACAACTGTATATATTCAGTTGAACTTACGAACTTGCAGCCAAATATACTTTTATGCAAATTTCTGTTTCTGATTCAAATTATAAGCCTATAGTATTTTTATTTTACAGAACCAAAAAAACCAAGCAAATGGGACACAGGTATTCCTTCCAATGTTCAACCCCATGATACATCCTCAGAATCTGTCAAGCTATCTGTTCCTCCTGTTGGAAGTTTGATCAAACGAAATTAAAGCTATTCACTTTGCCAGATACTAACTTTTAAAAATGCTATCTCTTTTTTTATCTTTCGACAATAGAATGCAAAATATCAACAAATAATATAAATGAAATATTCAACCATGTCAATTTGTTTGCTCCAATTAACCAACTGTTAAAAAATAAGATATACGTCTACGCATAGATATAATGATTAGGATTAACTTGATGTTCCTGATAATTTTCCTCGTGCGTTTTTTCACTTGAGGTTAATGTAGGTGAAGATGATGGGAGATTATGTTTTATATCAAGTCTGACCTGTGCACCAGGAAGGCTGTGGTTATACAGTGAATTGTTCGCTGGTGACCAATTCATGATAAACGAGTTTGTTGCTCGCGTCCAGTCATCTTTATAAACCTAAAATTGAATAAAATATTAATTTTTAAGTTCTATATGACTGCAATGCATTATCTTAAATCAATAACTTTGCTTTATTTTATACATATCTTTCATTAACCGATTTACATTTTCTCATTAATATCCTTTTCACGAGTTTTCCAATATATTACGAGGCTAATAAAATATAGCTATCTAAACTAATACATTATCAGTATTGACTTATCGAAAAGCTAAGCAGTAATTTCGTAACCGAGAGCTATAAATAACTCGTTTATTTATGAGGCGGATAGACATCATCGAATAACATCAAAATTGCATTTTTACCAAAATGGAAAGTCAATACATGAACTGGGTTACGTACGCCTGTCACTTCTAATAGAGCATGGGCCACCGACCAACACTCTCCAATCAGCTTTGTTCTGCGCCTTCCTTTCAATTCTTATTCAAATGCTATTCATTCTTTTCATGTTTGCCTACCATTCTCGGCTCAGTATGTTGCTTCGTCTACCTCTTTTCCTTTGGCCTTGAGCACCCCAAGTTACGGCTTGTCTCGTGATGCAGTTCGGAGATTTCTGCAATGTATATCCTATCCACGTCCAGCGCTCTTCCTCATCTGGAATCTGGTTTGTTCTCTCCCGCAGTAAGTTGATGCAGATGGTGTCTGGCCAACGGATATGGAGTATCTTGCGTACGCTACTGTTAATAAACACTTCTCTAAGCTTCTACTCCATGCATTAGAATAGTTTTGATACTTGCATTGAAAATTATGACCTTGGTTTTGAGTTCCAGATGTTCTTCAATTGTAGAGATGCTGCCCTTGTTTTGCCGATCTGTGTCTTCACACCAGCATCATATCCATCTTGTTTATTAATGATGCTCCCTAAGTATGTAAAGGTTTTCATCTCTTCCAAAGCTTTTCCGTCAAGTGTGGTTGGATTGGTGCGTGCTGTGCTATATCTAAGAACCTTGCTTTTTCGCTTGTTTATGTTGGGGCCTACAGCTGCAGATGCTGTTGCTACATTGACCGTCTTCATCTGCACAAATTTCTGTGTGTGGGATAGAAGAGTTAGATCATTTGCAAACTCCAAATCGCCCAGCTGTCCAAAGCATTCCGTGCTTCCCCTTGTATGCTGACGTCTTCATAATCCAGTAGACCACCAGGAGAAAGGGTGAGAGTAAGCAACCTTGCCTGACACCGGTCTTCACTTGAAACGAGATGTGCTTTATGCATAACCTGGCAGCTTAATTCATCACGAGAATTCCGTATGGTGCTGACAATCTTCTCAGGCACACCGTTGTTTCGAAAAAGCCTCCATTTATCCACTCTGTCGAATATTACCATGGAAAAAACTATTTTAACTACGGAGATAAGTTTGAGTGAATCAGAATTCAGACTCAATTTCCTTTGACATATAGATCAACTGTGATCAAATTACTTTGTATTTCATGAAATAAGACCACACACCTGTATTGTTAAATATTTCACCAAGCTGGAAAGACGGTTGGTAACGTGTGCCAGAACCAACTGTTCATTAGCATCCCGGCGAACGCGAACGTATAAACTTCCTGCAAGATCCTTGTATCCAATCGACCATATATGTTCGTTTTGTAGCTCCAGAACGCCATCGACTGTAGAAGCTTCGCGAAGTGCCTTATCCAAGGGACTAACTAAATGAGCTGGTGTTGTCTGAAGTAATATTCGACCACTGGAATAAAATCAAAAAATTTGTGTTTAGAAACTGGTAACAATATTGATACAGATAATAGCTTACAGAAACTAGTGCCGACTTTCTAAATCTCGCAGGATATTCGTTCATTAACTCTTACTTGTAGAAAGAATGAGGAACTTCATGTAGACAGATATCCAACCTTTGACATTTATACATGTAATTGTAAAGTATGTAGAGAATAGAAGGCAGAGACGAGTTTCTCGTTTATCTGCTTCACCAATTTAGCAGATGAACTCCACAGACGATATTTATGTGCTTAAAGTTGGTTCTTTCTGAAAAAATACATGGTTGTCTGAACATAGTTGCCACAAACGGTTGCCGTGGTCTTTTTGTCGATACGGAACACTGTAAGATCCACCTAAGTAAGCATCTTCCATTTTGACTTAGACTACCCACCTAGACATCGAAGTCCCCTGCTACAATTACTACTTCCGATTGTTCGAATTTTTAGGAGAGCAGAAGGCTTCTCATAAAACTCATTATTTCGTCTGAACTGCAATCAGTGGGAGCATACGCTGATATGACGAAAGAGCAACTAGGTGTCTCTATCCTTCTATGTTCCTACTTCCCCACTTGGTCGGACATCACGTAGGCGAGTCTATTCGAATCGAATCTGGAAGAGTCTATCCCACTTCTTAACTCTGCTGCCAGTGAGGCCACGAGAATCGACAGTCAAGTCTCCAGCTACATGGAGGAATAACCGTTCTGGTTCTCCAAATCGACTAGGTGATATCAGGTGAATGACTACATGTGGATCGCGTATGGATGTTTCAGAGAAGCAATATACATCGATTGCGCGAGATTCTTGAGTCCTAGCTATCGAAGCCTGTTGGCCTATTTGACGTAAGGTTTGAACATTGTGAGCTGCAACATATGGTCTAGATCGTGGTTTTAAAGACCAGGAATAAGATCTCATGGATTCGAATATTCAACATTAGTGGTTCATGTGGATAAAGTCAAAGGAGAAGGGTTGGTGGAAGGGATGTAAGGAATATCAAAAACTGTCGAGGGGGTTTCATCATAAACAATATGAATCCGGGTGCTGTTAGGGATGTGAGGACAGTTGTCACTTCTCAGCTGCCCACAATGCGGATGGAGAAGCAAGCATATAAAATTGAATTCTTCCCAACTAAACATTCTATTTTGCTCTGTATAATACACATCATAAACTGTGGTTAAATATTCTGATAATCAAAACTGAATGTTCTACTTATTTGTACGCGCATAATTTTTACATAGAATGTTACAAATATTAGCAGGACCCGTTGTAGTTTAACATAGAAGAGCTTTAAACACTGATCTGGAAAATCCATTTTTCAAATAATCCAAGTTGTCCCTCTTATACTTCGATTATATCCGGTAAATGTACTTCGGACTTTTGAAAATATCAGCGTTTTAACCAGGTTCCAGTCAAGTTTCAAAGGACCTGTGATAGTTAAGCTTTTCAAGAGCAGTGTGTTGTTCCTGTGATTATTTCGTTTCAAACTGTTCTTATAAAATCAAAGTTAACCACATACATTTTACCTTTTTGATGGCTACCATTTTTTCTGATATCGCAGATCATGAATCACACATATGCGTTAAGTAGACAGTTGAAAAATATCTGGAACTCCAAACAACTTTGAACCAAAACCAAAATAAGGATTTTCAATACAAATGTGAAGACAGTTCTACTGTCTACTGGAGCGGAAACATGGAGAACTACCAAAGCCATCATCCAGAAGATGCAAGTGTTTATTAACAGCTGTCTACGCAAAATACTTCGTATCCGTTGGCCAGACACCATCAGCAACAACGAATTGTGGGAGAGAACAAACCAGATTCCAGTGGATGAGGAAATCAGGAAGAAGCGGTGGAAGTGGATAGGACACACACTACGAAAAGCACCCAACTGCGTCACTAGACAAGCC